GCAGCTTCTATATAGGCTAATAGTATTGAGTTTCTTGTGGAAGAGCAGTTTCTGTTGAGCTTTGATCGATCATGTGACTTAAATCACTGCTGTGAATGTTGGTTTTCTGTATATTATTCAGTATATTACAATGGCATAAAACAGATATTAATACTTCAAAATCTGTAAATTGACATAATACCAGATAACGAAATATGGGTTATTACTGTAAATTTTATGTTAAGTCTGTAAAACCAATAACCTTGCTGCATTTCACGGTAAAGTTCTGGCAACCACAGCTGGTATTTTACCAGAAACATTATGTTTTATTTTTTACATTAACCTTTTTCATCATTACTCCAGTCTTCAGTGTCACATGATCCTTCAAAAATCACTCAAATATGATGATTTGATAGAAACAATTACGTCAATATTGTCAACACTTATTTGAAATGTCTTTAATGTCACGCTTGATCAATTTAATGCATCCTTGCTGAAAAAAAAACATGTACAAAATGTTTAATTTAGCCTTCTAATTTTCTTTTTTGCTTTGAAATATTTATTATGAGAAATGCTACAGTATTATTCTAATTCAGTTGAAAATGTCTTTCCATGTTAAAACATCTAACATTATGTTTTGGGCCTTTATTCTGTATATAAAAATATGAAGCAGCCTTTATGGGAAATAATATATTCATATTTACAGATCTTTGACATCGGAAGGTATTTTCATTTTTCCTTTAATGTTAATGCCAACACACTTTGACATTTCTTTGCAGAGCGCGGTCTGAGGCGACACAAGCCCAGCACTGAGTGATCTGGCAGGAGCGATCGGGACTTTCAAGTGGATGCTGAAGTGTTTTAATATCCTTCTATTGTTCCGAGCCTGCGTCACGACCCTTGCGCAAGGATGGAGATGGGATGGAGATGGAGCTGGCTGTTAAACCACAGGCTTGATTAGAGGATGATGGGATTGTCCTGCAGCAAAATGGGGAAATGCTCAAGAGCTCATGCACTTCCCACTCTTAGGTAAGAACAGCCAAAGTAACACAGTAATGCCTCCCTTGAGATCTCGTGTGTGTGTGTGTGTGTGTGTGTGACCCCAGTGAGGACAAAATATTCAAGGGTCAGAGAGTTCTGCTGGGCTGGATCACAATCTGACTGACAGCGTAGAGCGGTAAACTTGCTATTTTAGCTTGGCTCTCTCCTGACGGGTGATGCACGTCTGTTTAATGGAAATTATGTTTGCCATACCAAAGAGGCGTTTAGTGGTACCGTATCCGCCTCTGTGGACAAACATAATTATGTTGTCAATATATATCATAGTATTTTTTTTTGTTGATATTTTACTTATTTTATGGCGCTTAAAAATAAATCAGTTGCTAACAACAGAAGAAATTTACAAAACAGTTCTAGTACACAAACGTTTCTGATTTTTTTATGGTAATAAATCAAAAAAGATGCATCAAATTATTCAACAGAGATGGGATTATTTTGGTCTACTGACAATTTATTGTTATGAATATTTAAATGTAATATTTATTACATTTCATATACCCAAATTTATTTATTTAAACTTTTTTATTTATAATTTAACTATACATAAGAAAATATATAAATCTTGCGCACTTGCACGCAATATATATATACACGAAGAGTTCAGATGCAAAAGCCTCTAAATGCCATTTGAAATTTTCTTCTTTAATGATGATTTTTTATCAAACTTGTATATTAAGGTTCAGTAATTTCACTTAAATAACAATTAATAGGTAATTATCATTGCCATTTAAGTGAAATTACTGAACTTAAATATACAAGTTTGATAAAAATCATCATTAAAGAAGAAAATTTCAAATGGCATTTAGAGGCTTTTGCATCTGAACTCTTCATACACACACACACACACACACACACGTTTAAATTGTATCCTATGCACCTGCAAATAATTTGAGTGTGAAACACTGTTTTTTTATTAATTTAATCATAATGAAATATAATTCAATTCAATATTTTATATGAATTCAATATATTCAATTAAATTATACTTTATAAAATAATTTAAATGTGGGTTTATGATTGTCATGCCTTAATTATAATTAAATTATTTTAAAAAAAGAAAACAAGTAAGTGTGGTTTTATGTCGAGTTATTAATATTTTGCGTCTACATTGGGGTCTAAAGTCTGAAGCCACTAATAAAAGTAATTTTGCATCATTTCAAAAATGTGCTTTTTCACACAAATCCACATAACAGTTTGAATAAAGAAAGACATAAAATATTTCGTTTGCCACTTTATTGACAGCATCATATGTGCTTTGTGACCCAGAAATAGTGTTGAATTTTAAATATTTCATTTTCGATCATATTGTTCCTTGTTCCGTGTCAGAATCTCAAAACGTTGTTTCCAGGTTAAAATAAAATCATTTTTGGACTCAGCGTAACCTGGTAGTTCAGGTAACACACACACCAGTAGAGGTCAGCAAGTCCATTTACTCATTAGTCTCCATCACCCCTGACCAATTAATACTGGTTGATGAGGAACCAAGGACAAAAGCTACTGATCAATCCCATCATACTTCAGCATATAAAGAGAGAGCCCATGCAGCAACACGTGGGTTTTTCCTGATGAAGCTCTACCCTCACATTGAGAATCCATTAGTCTGCTATAGGAAGAAATCTCCCAAGCCCACTATTAAGGACAGGGAGTCTCCAGCACTCTGGGATTTGGCCTTCGTCACAGGCACCGACAGCGAGAAGGAAGCCATTAAATCATAAAATGTTGACTTCACTTTTTGAAATGAAAGGATTATATTAAAACAGTATGCTGGACTGGGGGGTACAAAAGGCTTTTAGTGATGCATTTGGCTTTTACAGTATTTAAAAGCGTTTGTGGCTGGAGGAGCCGGTGGGCGAGACTAAACTAATTGGACCATGTGACAAACAGCAGAAAGAGTCGGGTCTTTACAGTCAAATACTTTTATGATTTATTAGACACGAATTGTACCACCAACACAAAGAATAGCTTGGAGTGTATTTGCTGCAGTCAGGACAGAGGTGTGTAAAGCACACGTCCCAGATCGTCTCTCAGGACACATTCATAACGCTGCAGAATATGTGCTGGCTTTTGTAAATCTGAATAATCTGACACACTTCTGCTGCTATTTATTAAGCTCATATGAATTCATTTTTAATTTATAAATAAGTAAAATGGACAGTTCTTTTAAAAAAATAATAATTTTACAGAAATCGTTCATGTGCCCTGATAATCTTTCATTAAAATAACTTCTCCTGCTATGACATCTCTTCTCTGATGATGTGTTTCGGGACAACCTGTCACTCACATGAGATCGACCAATAGCAAACCACAACCGTCCAATCAGTTCCCGATGGACAAAATCAAGTCCCGCCCTACATTTGTTCTTGTTCGCGAAGCCATTTCGCTCAGATATACATCACAATAGGGAAGAAAAGAGTATCGCAACTTTTAAATTCTAAAATATTGATATTATTATAATTATAATATTATTTAAATTCCACTAGAGGTACAAGTGTACCATATTATTTTCCCTTCTGAGCTTTTGTTGAACTCAAGGACTTTTTGAAGAGGCCCAGAAAATAATTGAGCATTACATTTATAAATATATGTGTATATTCATTTAATTATTTACTTTAAATAAGTTTTAAGTCGATTTTTATAGACCAAAAGAGAAAACTGTTATCGAGCTTATTTAGTGGAATTTGCAATTGACAAATGTTTGTTAAATATAAATGTTATTATGCTGTTGTTTGCACTGCAGCTGACGCGAGTCAGTAGTTTAGCATGTTATATCGACAGCAAAAGTAACACTCTTACGGGAGCCAGCTGTTTTTAAACCATTTGCACATAAAAGCAAAGTATGTTTGAGGCATGCAACAGCTCAAGGATTTTGTTAAGAGTTCGAGATTTGTTTCAAAGTATGACAATTTATGTACAGAAGTCATGGGTGCAAAAGGAGATATTTGTGTACGTGAGGAATTTCTGTAGTCTGTAAAGTCCATAGTTCAAGCAGACCCAGACTTTGACACATCAGAAATAGTGCAGTCACACCTAATATATATTTTAGGTTAATACATTTTACAACAGAAATAACTTGCATGCAATAATAATAATAGTCTTTATGAAAAGCCAATCGAGTTTAAAACCTAACAAAAATTTATACGGATTCTACAGTGCAGGGTAAATGATGAAAATACTGAAAAATATCTGCATGAAACATACTACAGGAAATGTATTCAGATACGTATTGCCGCAGTGGATCTTTTTGTTGAAAGGACAAACTTTTGTATTTCAGGGCTGAAATTTATTTCATATCATTCACGCTTACAAACTGAATGACCATTTTTCATCTAATATTATATATATTTAATCACTAGTTCGTGCAACACTGAATGGCCCTATATCTATATATATATCTATATCTATATCTATATATCTATATATATATATATATATATATATATATATATATATACTGTATATATATATAGGGCCAGTGTTGCATGAACTAGTGATTAAATAGGTGAAGAAGATGCACTTTATTCATTCATTTAAATTTAAACCTTTTGAAGGTATCAAAATTATGCAGGTCAATTTAATTATTTATTTATTGCCAATTTAGTTAAAGTTCTGTGATTTGAAAACTATTGAGCATTGCATTTGTAGTTATACAACATAATATAAGATACAATTTATTTTTTGAAATTCTAATTTAGGTCAAAAGTTTTGAGTTGAGTTGAACAAACCAAGAATTTAAAAAGTCTTTTAAACTGTTTTGCATGAACATTTTTCAATAATAATTATTTATTTGAATCTATTGTCCGCTCTAATACGTGTGATTTCTTTTTTATAGGTTTAACAAAGCAAAATCTCTCCTCTAGATCCTGCTGAGGAACTATTCTCTCTCTCAACGTTTGCGTGGCATGTCTCTGGATTTAACATGTTGCACTGTTGGTAATGTATCGTGCTCACGCTCCCTCTTTTCTTGTAGTCACCTGATAAGTGAACCCCTCGCATATCACTGCTTTTCTAGATGCTTCATGTGAGATCTGATCAGGTCTCGGTAAATCATGCCAGATATCCAAAGAGAGAAACCACATACTGTATGAAAACAAACCTTGTGTAAACAGCATCCGCACGTCTCAAAAACTCTCCTGATAATTTGACTAATAAGCGGGATAAACAGAGAATTTGCAGTACTCACCCGAGACTGTGTGACATGGTGCTTAGAGAGATGAGAATGACCGTCTCTCGTCTTCTCCGCTCTCTCTAAATAAGGCCCTGACTCCACACTCTTTTCCCCATCTGCTAAAGCTATTTCCCCCAAAAGGCATCTGATTTCCTCTCCGTTTTTTACCCATGAGCAGAGAAAGGCCCTGCTCTGTGTGCCGTTACACCGCATCTGTCTGTACGGGTGAAACCTTTGGGACGTCTTGAATAGTTCTGCTCGAGTAGTGTATGCCGCGATGAGCACTGTTACTCTGATTAAAACAGTGATACACTACCATGACTGTAAATGACAACTAATGTATATTCCATAAAGAATCTTTTATTCATTCTAGTAGGCTGGGAAGTAGTTGAAATTACATGGGATATATTGTCGGATATATGCGTGTGTGTGTGTGTTACAAAAGGTTTCAACATGCCTTTCGTAGACAGCGAAATAGCAAATCAATAATGAGATTATTGTTTATACTTTATAACAAAACATTCTTAGTTTTAACCGTATTTCCTTAAACTAATCAAAAAGAAAATACACCAACCTGACTGCCTAACCAAAAAGCAATATGCGATATATTTACAAAGCCAAGTGAACAAATTGAGATGGCCAAAATCAGTGTCAGAAAACAGTTAAAATACAACAAACACAAAACATTTCCTACTCAACCAGTCAGTACTCACAGTCTCCAATACACTTTTAACACGTACAAACTATCTTATTAAACACTACAAACATATAATATGAATACACTAATAAAAACTCTCTTAAAACTCTGCACTAAACAATCCAACTCTTTCTGTTTAGGACACAAAGATGTTGTGATGACATGTATTTTAAAGTTCTGTCCACCAATCAGGACATAGCATCAATCAGCCAGCAGGAACCAATCAGAGGGCATTCCTGCACGCACACAAACTCCCAAAACAACCAAGGTAAAACAAAACATAAACAAACCATACGGTCCTAACTATTTATATATATGTATTTATATTTATCACCTTAATATTTAGTTGGAAACAGTTGAAACCTGTAATTCTCTTTTCAGAATTCATTGGTGATAAAAAGTTAATAAAAGAACAGCATTTATTTAAAATATAAATGTTCTATAACAATTTAAATCTTTACTTTCAGTTTAACACATCCTTGCTGAATAAAAGTATTAATTTCTTTAAAAAAAAATTGTAGTGTATATTATATATTGTTACAACAGATTTATATATATATATTTATACACACTACTTTAAAAAAATAGATATTAATACTTTTTATTTAACTTCAAAAAAGTGTGCATTTTACTGATAATAAGACATTTATAAATGAAATGTAACATGGTTTCCTCAACTGTTGATAATTGAGCATCAAATTATCATATTAGAATGATTTCTGGAAGATCATGTGACACTGAAGACTAATATTTCACACTATTATTGTTACTGTATTTTCTGATGAAGCGTTATTTATGTTGTAGGTGGTTTGTCGATGGACTACTCAATAGTTTGTTTGCAGACAGTCATCCCACCAATAGAAGAAGATCTACAGCTTCGGGGCTTCAGACACTGATCCCCTGTCCTCTAAATCATCCTCACAACACAGGAGAACGTGCAGAAGATCAACAACCCATTAACACGTTTAACCCCTCTCAGCTTCTCCGACCTTCTCAACAAATCTGCCTTTAGGGACCAAAGAAAAGGTCCCGATTAAAACAGCAAATCACGAAAAAGATTTAAAAGGGCCGAAATGAAAATCTATTTCTGACATGTTTTGGATGTATGGAGCTGTAAGGCTTGGCCTGGCTGGATTCAGTGGACAGTTGTGGCGGGGTTTTGTGACCCAGCCTCCCTCTCATGTTACATGTCCCTATTTATAACATCTCCCACCCCTCCTTCAGTCCCAGCCCATTGCCCAAAATCCCGGCCACTGTTAGGAAGCACCTTTCCCTCTCAGCTGGGCCGCAGTCTGCGCTAGACTGTCAGCTGAGATTCATCTCTCATCATCATAATCGTCAGCTGCTGCTGCCTGGCAACTCTCGCTCGCGACGTGCATGGGATTATCACACACACACTCATGTGTACTGACGCACTTTTTTCCCTTTCCACTTTTTTTTCCAGGGAGAGATTGCTTAAAGTGAGAAGCAAAGGAGCGTTTTGTGTTTCTGCTGCTTTTAATTAATCTGGAAGTTTTGCTGTTGTGGCTTCGGTTTTCGGTTTGGTGCATGCGATGGATCACACGCTGTTCGGCTGTTTGCGCAGCCCTCACGCACCTCCACAGGCCCTGCACCCCGCCTTCGCCCTTCACGGGCGCTCCGAGCACCTCTCCGCGTACCCTGACCTCTCCACCTCCTCTCCTTCTTCCTGCATCGTGAGCAGTTACCCAGGTGAGGATGGGGGACTGTTTGGGGAGCACGGGCACCAGCGAGGGCCACCCATGTCCCAGCATCATCATCATCATCACCATCATCATCTACCCCAACCGCAGCAGACCGGATGGCACATACCGCAGACGGCCAGCGCCTCGCCAGCCAGCGCCCGTCTAGGGCTGGGCATCTCGGCCCCTGATTCAGGCTCTTCAGACATGGGTCCCGGGGGCCCCAGCCTCTGCGCAAGCACCCCGAGCCTCGGCGGAGGGGTGCCCACGGGGGCCTCTTGTGTTCCCGGAGGGGATTTCGGACGTCATACGATGTCGCCAGCCGAGGCAGAGAAAAGGAATAGCAAACGAAGAAGTGACAGCTCTGGTAAGAAAAAGGCTCGTTTATTTTAAACCAATCTTAAGTAAAAAGCTAAAGGGTCCGATATGATCAAGTCATTTTTTGTTTTATATATAGCATATAGCCTTCATTTATTTGATCAAAAACACGGGAAAACAGTAATATTGTGAAATATTATCGATAATGGTTTTCTATTTCAGTTTACTTTAAAATATCATTTATTTCTGCGATACAAAGCTAAATAATAATCAGCTATATATATATATATACACAGTATAATGATTTATTTGATTTCAGTATTTAATATTCTTTGCAAAATGCAAAATATTTTTATAAATATATTTCTAATTTTATAAATCATTTATATATATATATATATATATATATATATATAACATAAAATGTATCATTTATTTGCTATCTGTAAATAATATCACTATTTGTTAAATACTAAATTAAATATATTTCTAATTTTGAAAGTATTATATATACATTGTTTTACATATTTTTTAAATATATTATGTATGTTTATATATAATATCTATGAATTATTTAAATTATATATATATATATATATATATATATACAGTATATATATACATACACAGTATATACTGTACGTATATGATTGAAAGACTAATTTTCTCCTATGCATATTATTATATCGTGTAAATAAATTCTTTGTAATGTTTTCCAGAAAAAACATTTCTCTTATCAATTATACTTTTGTTATTTTATTCCCACTGTTAAAAAAATCTAAGTTTGTTTTATTGTAACTGTTTTTTTGCCAAGTTATGTTGCATTTTAACAGCCTTCACAATCAGACCGAGTGCATGTGTTTTTGGAAACGTGGAGCCGTGTGTTTGCCCGTGAGAGTTTTGTACTGTAGGTGTTGGCTTACACGCACAGAAGCAATTATTTGGGCTAGCAGAGGGCAGATTGTAACTCATGTGTGGGCATTTAACTGCACGCATGATTCACGTTTAGTCTCATCTGTTTCATCTCCTCACTTTTTTGGCAAGCACAAATAAGGCATGTGGTAAAGTAACTAATGCCATGGTCTGAGATGGAGAACAGGGACGCCTGTGTTGGCATTCGACACGAAAAGCCACACGTTAGATGACAGGAGTGCTTTCTCTTTGAAGATAATTTGTTTGTACATTGGAATCAGAACGGGAATATAGTGTTACTTTATTTTTGGTATTGCCGAAGGGTAAAACGGGCAGGGAGATATGAAGTAAAGTTTTCGGTTCACTGCAAAAGTTGCTGTTTAATCTGATGGGCATCTTCAGTTTGTTTTGTCGGGAATAGTTGCCACTCGTGTTAAAAAAAAAATCAATTTAACACTGCATAAAATGGATCATAAAATGTACTTTTACGATCCTGTTACTTCAAAGGGAATTTTAACTACTTTCTGCCCTTTAAAACAAAGTTCAGGTCCACACAACAGAGGTACAGCCCTGCAGATGTGGATTTGTTCTCATTTGTGCCAACCCGAAATTAACATAACATCAATACACTTGTTCCACTGCTGAAAAGGCCTTAACAGAATTGGAGGACTCCGCACTAGTTCTTTAACAATTTATGGTAGCACTTCATTTTACAGTGTTCTTGTTGCTTATGTGGTATGTACTCACTGTAGTAATAACATAACATTTTGCATAATTACATGCAACTAACCCTGATTACTTGAATGTAGAATTACACTGTAGCAAGGAAACCTTAAAATAAAGTGTAACCCATCTTACAACTTTTTGTCACAAAAACAGGCAGACATGATTAGAAGTTATTTGCACTGTTAAATATAATCATTATGTATTTACTAAACATTTATTTGTATTAATATTATTTAATTTTGAATATTATTTGAATAATTTTGAATATTATTCCACTCCCATATCAAAATTTATTCTCAATTTTCTGCCTCCAAGTTGGATTTACAATAAACAAAATGATTAGCATGTTGTGGTGTGTAATATTGTAAAATGTATTGAATTATAAAAAATGTAATTCTCACGGATATGTTTGGGGCATTTGAACAATGTTGATCTATTTTAAGCATTATAGATTTTAAAAGGTATTTAATTATTAAAATGTTTTAATATACTTTATTCGTTTTCAGAGCAATTGTGGCACAACACAAACATTTTATTATAGCATGCTTTTATAATAAGCACCAATCAATGCAACAATGGCTGATTTAACAGTCAAAATGTCAACATATTTTTCAATTTATTTTAAGATATGTTGTTTGATTTATTCAAAGCATGTGTGGATGTTCTAATAAAACAGCACATGTCTGGTTTGGATAGGAGACAGCCGCCGTGTGTTTTGTCATGTGGGTTTTCATGATATTCATTTTGGTTTCTTGTTTTTTTTTTTTTTTTTTCACCAATAAAGCTCACTATGTAAGTAAAATATTAAAGTAGATGTCTAAATTTTCATTGTAGCTGTATATTTTAAATCATCTTTGAAAGCTTGGGCTGTCCAACTAGCCCCCACCCCACCCACCCCAGCACTTTTCTTTTTTTAAAGAAGAGATAAAAGTTAAAGCGCAGGCCTAATTGCTGTGGTGTAACCGCCGTGTTGCGAAGCCGGGAAAAGTTGCCTTAACTTAGACCAGCTCGGCTCACAAAACACTGCTCGTGTTGCTTTTTCTCACTCCACAATAGTTGCTTTTATCCCGCAATAAATGTGCCTTTTTGCTCGTTTTAATCAGACCCACATTCAGCTGACTCTTTAGTGAAATTTGAGCTGTAATCAGTTGCATTTTGATGCACTGTCTTTAGAAATCACCTGATGATTATTTGTTAAAAAGTCTGTTCATTAGAATGCATGATACACCATAGACTGCAACTTCAATGCTAAACTACATATCATCATTACACGAACAATCCTTGTCAGCTTCTGAAAATCTCAACCTGCAAATTATACTGTTAAATAACACGTTTGGCATGTGTTTATAGCCATCATGATGTAGCTGACAGCGGCGTTTCCACACTTCATCCGAACATCCACCAGTGAGACCTTCAAAACTAAAATAATAGGCTACTTTGCCATATATCTCAGTGCATCTAAGATACGCTTGAAGTGTTTTAAAAACACTGTTTGTTTGAGAATCCGACCAGCCTGACACATTAACAGTGGCTCGACCAATAGCATGAGTTTGGGGGCGGGGACAATCTGACTAATGGCAGTTGAGGGAATATATGTTTGATAACCGTTAAAAATTACAAATCTGATCATCCCAACCGCGTCATCTAACTGACGCTTTTCCTTTAGCGTCAGTTAGATGACGCCGTAGGATCGCGTCATCTAACTGACGCTAAAGGGCGCCTAAAGCGTCAAATATTGAAGCATGGTCAAAAATGACGCCTTGGGGTGAGAATGTGTTGGCATTTAAAGTGACAGACCAAACACTGGCACATTTTCACACTGGCAGTTTAGTTCGTAACGGGGTACGGTTCGCATGAAAAATCAATAATGTGAAGGCTGTCATGCGGACCCGGGTTTGCACTGGGGTAACGTTACCGAACCCGAGACTACAGTCCCTGTGCCGTGGTTCGTGTGATGTGAAAGCAACACGGACTCAGGTGCGCACTTGTTCAAGAAGTAAAGTAACCTGCGCATGCGTAGCTGACTATCTTCAATAAACCACATGTAAGGGATGATAGTGTTCATGAATTACCTTGGATACAATCGAGAGTGAGTTGGCGGTGTAGTCGCGCATATCGCATGGAATCAGGACAACGAATGAATGGAAATCCACAGTCTCCTCAAAAGAGTCCGTTTGCAAGCAGCAGAAAGCCACCTTAACACACACACACAAAACACAGTAAACCTGTGTTGGTCACTCAGCTGAGCATAATAGCACAAAATTAATAAAAAAAAACACAATTTATTATAAATACTAAATGATATCATGGTGTGGACGCTAATACAGTTATCGTTCTGGGTGTGAACAGACCTTCACTCTGAGAGTGAGTAAAATTTCATTTATGGGTGAACTTTCCCTTAAGAACATGAACAATTATGTATTTGAAATATCATGCTGACTTGTGCTAAAAAGGCAGAGCACTTGCGGATGGGGTCTCATTAAATTAGACTCTATTTACAGCTGGGTTTTGGATTGCTAGTTGGATTAGCGCTCACTCCACACCCATAGATAAATGAACCAAAAGGCTTTGCAAGTGAGTCACAGCAACATGAAGTCATGATAAAGGCGCACATCATAAAATGTCCTTCCTCGTATCAAAACAACAGAAGCGCATGTGTCTTCGGCAGGATGGATAGCTAGGCTAATCTGACATTTCCTCAATGACCTTTTGTGTTTCCCATTCAAGAATAGACTAGCACTGGCAATAACCACATGTAATTGTATAGGCTATGAGCTTTTATGCGTTCATGTTCTGTCACTCCAAAAAACATCTGAAACTAGGGAAAGCAATTCGGCGTAATTGACAGCGCAAGAGCGAGGGAGGGAATAAGAAACACTCCACTGAAAATTGTTGTGAGCTGGCAACTCTTGAGCCATGACTGGAAGACGCTCGTAAAATTTTGAGGTAAATAAACTAAGGAAATATATTTTTACACATCCTCCAGTGCTGTTTGGTTCCATATTAAAACTACAAGGATAGCAGATTCCATTAACAGTAAGTCAAATGAAGTCTTTGGAAAGTGTTCTGGTGAGCGCTAACTCATTGTGAGAATCTGTACAGCGGTTTATGAAAACTCACGGCTGGAGCTGACTTTTACAAACAGCTGGCATGCACAATTGCAGCATCGTAAAATATGACTGGCAGTATTCCTCTGCTTTTCTTTATGACATTTCTGGGATTTCAACCCCGCAGTGATTGTATTTAATTGGAACGATTGCGTTGAAATGAACCGAATGTGTCTCAAAGCCCATTTTGTTGTGGAACAGTTGATACCGCTTTTCAAAAAGTTTGTGACCATTTCTTCCATTCTTGTTTTTTCTTTTAAGAGTCCCAAGATGGGAATTACAAGTCGGATGTGAGCAGCAAGCCAAGGAAGGAGCGGACAGCGTTCACCAAAGAGCAAATTCGAGAACTGGAGGCAGAATTCGCCCATCACAACTATTTGACCAGACTGAGGCGGTACGAAATCGCCGTGAACCTGGATCTCACGGAAAGGCAGGTGAGGTGACCGAGTGCGACCTGGTCCCTGTTCATCAATCATACTGTCAGAAGCTACTGTCGTTTTATTTTTTTTCTGGGTTCAGTGCTTTTCTATCCAGCCATGGAGTGGGACTATTGTATTCCAGATGTTTCTCCAAGCTCTCTTTTTGGCTTTAGTCAAGTAACGGGAGAGGCGAAGGAAGTTCTGTCCGCTAAGGCACTTCCGCCTTGATTCTCCGTCTTACAAATTGCTCTCTGCGTGGGAAGGCGCTTCCTACAGCCATATGTGAAATAAATAGCACATGACGCTTTATTTGGAGCCAAAGATATATTGGTTGTTGTAACTATTTGATGTTTTAACCAAACAACTATGTAATCTTATTAAACTGTTGAAGTTTATTGACTCCTACAGACATAAAGGGATGACATAATGCTTGCTGTTTTCGAAATGACATCATTGGCAGGTCATTCTGGCCTAATTCAAAACACCATTCATAACATTTTTAACTGCTCAATGAGCCATGCAAGTGCTTTAAATCATAATATGTCCAGTACATCGCAGTTTTTTAGAAGACTACGAATGTTTCTAGACCTTTTGGTTTCATAAGATTTTGCAGTTTGCCATGGATCCTACAAGGAAGTGACATCTGTGGCCTTAAATTATGCTACATTCTCTGGGGATACATTCCCAAGGCTTAGAATTAAAAACCTTGCCACACGACAAGTAAGCAAATCCGCCTCCTGCAATGTGATCCCTGTGTGAACCTGCTGGAGTTCTGGATGTTTGTGGCAGGAGAAGGACTATGACTGGGGCACACGTAAAATGGTTACTAATCATAATGATATTGCACAGGCTAATTAAAACGACAATCTGTAATTAAGTTGATTACAGCACTTGCAAGACAGCACTGTATTGGTCTCCCTTTATGTTTTAGGGCTTTAGAATTAAACTCGTCCAGTTAATTCAGTCTGAACTGCTTAACATACAAACTCAGTTTGAACTTTGTTTATTTTTTATAACTTTTTTAACTTTATAATTTTTTGAGAAATAAATTGGTGAAAATTCCAATTAACTTTTTTTGAACAAAAGTTGGCTTTTGCCAATTTGTTTTTTTTTTCTTGCATTGATAACCATATGGGTGTCTTGCCAGTGCAAAGACAGCTTTTTGACAAATGCAAACAGACCCTGATTTCATTTACACAGATACAGTCTTTAACTTTAAATGTATTTCAAAGCTGCCATGCAAGTGCTGGTATTTTTAGGAAATGATAGAATTGTCTAATGACATGCACTAACCAGTGACCAGTGGAATGACTGGGACATTTTCAGGCTGAGAGAAGAATTGCAAACGTTGCAGATATATTTTAAGGGTGGCAGTCATACAGTGCTGACCGTAATGAACGTGGGTGGCCAATTTAATAGTGTTCTAGCAGACCTTAAAATCCAAAGACTATTCCTTGCGGATGCTTGAAACTTAAGCTGAGCGCAAAATGTTGAGCGCAAAATGAATTTGAAAGTAAAATGTGCTTTAGAACTTAATCAAGTTTGATAGCCATTTGGGTATAAGAAATACAAATTGGCCTGGTATTCATGAAGTCTGATGCGTATGAAGAATTCTGGTCTATTTCTTGTGACTATCTAACATCATAGCTACTCCAGAAATACATTTTAGCATAAGGTGGCCCGGTTCCTCAGCAAGCCTTACTTGCACTGCAGTGACCCTTTAAGAAACAGCTAAATCATCATTCTGGGAAACTTAAATACTGTCTCTGAATTAACTCGCAAGGAAAAGACAAAAATGTCTGATGCCCCAGAATAGATGGGCTGAGCTACCAAGTATGTGCATTGAAAGCCATGGTATTTTTCAAGCGTCTTCAGAAAAACATAATTCCAAACTTTGTGGATCATGCATTAGAATAGCAAGGTAGATCACATGGCACACTTATACCCGACCGAGGGATATTAGCTTACTAGAGTTTGGTGAGTCATGGCCTGATCTACCTCCCCAATCGCTCCGCCAACAACCACAGTAAACAGATCATCTGCACCGTCGGGGTGAACATACAGACCAATTTGCTGAAGATAAACTACACTCTTAAAAATAAAGGTTCCAAATATTTTATTGTTGTTTTAACAGCGATGCCATTAAAGGTGCATTGCGCAGGCCTCTGAGTTTTTGCAGAACTACGCCCCCTTTGGCGAAAAGCGAAACTGCAACCAGAGGTTGTACACTCATGGACTACACGCACATGCACGCTTGCACAAGCTGTTCATAACCAAAGGAGCATCAGCCGCACAAATCTTTTGTTACAGTCAGAATGTCTTCAGAGGTAATTAAGTTATAAATCTGCGAGTCATTTTAAATATATGAAAGGAAAGGCATTTGAGTAAATTACTCGGGTGTAGTAGAAAACTTCGGTTTTTGTTTCCATCTATCTCCATGTTGAACTGTTTTATGTGTTTACTGTATCCACTTATGATTGTATTATTATGGAAACACGTTCATGAACAATATAAGTTATTACTTTGTATAGGATCCCGTTTGAGCCCTAGAACAGACCGGAGATCTCTCCATTTGTTGAAAGCCTTCCTGATGTTGACTCTCGTCTTATTCCGACGCCTGGCACTAGACAAAAGTTTTATTTTCTTTGTCTTACATGGAGTTTGTGTTGGGGTTTGGAATGAACTACAAGCCGGTCTCTTTGAATCCATCTTCTACTTTTGTCGAAAGTTTACTAAAGTTTTGTCGCTCGAGTTGTCTTCGCTGATGCGGAGAATGGCAGCGAATACACAAACCTGCCAGGCTAGCGCTAACCCGCATGACGTCACTCCCAGCATTAAATTCAAGCCCGGATCCTTCTTATTTATTTTACTGTACAGGATTATAGAGGCAATCGCAGTGATCAGAGAAAGGCTCATTCAGCCCATCAGGCAATTGTTTAAGCATGTATGGGTTAGAAAAAAGGGTATTTTTAACATGAAATGTTGCGCAATGCACCTTTAAAGAGCCATTTTGGGTTCCCCATACAAGGAACCTTACATGGAACACTTTAAAATAACCAATTTTTTCGTAGTGTGAAAGACTTTTTAATAATCTAAACAATGAAGACTTCCACTATAAAGACCCTTTTGTCCAATGGAAAGGTTCCTTGGATGTTAAAGGTTCTTCATGGAACCATATGCCAATAAAGAACCTTTATTTTTAAGGCTACGCCTACATTAATCTGGATACATTTGAGAATGCATATTTTTCTCTATTTTTGGCCACCCGTCCACACTGAGATGGCATTTTTGTTCCGAGAAAACAGCTTTTTGAAGACACTGCAAATTCTTTACAGTTTCGCAGCTTGGACTGTGAAAACGGAAGTATTTAAAATGGGCGCTGTATATCATGGTATTAATATCATGGTTATAATCGCATGTCCTACTTGTATACCGTTGCTAACGATAAATGTTTTGTACAATCTTCATATTACATTCCCGAAAAGATGACAGAGATGTGCTCACTATTGCTGTTGTGCGTCAAAACATGAGGGTGATTGTGTTTTAGACCATACATGGAATCGCGATTTTTGAGTGTGATTGGATGCACCAGTAAGTGTTGGGATATTTAGCTAATAAAATGATTGTGCCAGAAGAAGAGTGAGAACTTTATTATGTATGCTCTCTCTGTATCATCTCAGTGAGCTTTTATTACATTTTATGTATAGGCCTATGCAGTAAGATGATTTAAGCATTTTTCGTAGTTTTAGTGTGGACGAGAAACTTTTGGAAAAGCTTGAAAACGCTAATATGGTTGAAGAGCATTTTGAAACGATCTAAATGTAATGGGCTTAATGTAGATGTGGAGTGAAGGATCTAATAACTCATGTGTCTTTCTTTCCAACTAGGTAAAAGTGTGGTTTCAGAACAGACGGATGAAGTGGAAGCGAGTTAAAGGAGGCCAACAGGGGGCGGTAGCGAGAGAAAAAGAGCTTGTGAATGTCAAAAAAGGAACGTTACTTCCTTCTGAGTTTTCGGGAATTCCTGGACTCCAACATACACCGGACTCACTTATCAACAATGAGGACAGCCACGACAGTGACCAGAGCTCTGAGCACGCTCACTTATGATGCTTATCCGGGGTCATGTTCAGTTAGGGATTATGGTAAGTACGTACTGAAAGTACACAAAGACTGCACAGCAGATGACACTTGCCAATGAGGAGCAATCGCACCACGACGCCTCCCAGGACAGTTCCTGTGACGCCTCAAAGTAGTGACAGTGCTTGCTCAATATGTAAAAATGTACACAGGACTGACATATTGTTCTGCATTTGGATGATACAGAATATTTGTGATATTTTGGCATCAATATTCACAAAGAAAATGTGCCTTGCTAGTTTGACGGACATGTTTTCACATTTGAAAATGCCGTTAAATGCATTAAAGGTGCTGTAAGCCATTTCAAAATCCTCCCCGTCAGCAAAGCCAAAGTGCTTTACAGAGGTTAGGGTATTGATATGACCTGCATGCTATTCCATAAAATAATCACTTAGTTACAGCACCTTTAAAGTGCCCTTCTACTGCTGTTTTACATGAAAGAAAGCAGTGTTTTGATAAACTGTCTGGTCGGATCTGGCCCAACAACATTCCATTCTGATCTTGCATTGAAAAGGTGCATGTTTAAGTTTGCACTGTCAATTTCTGTGCCTTAATTGATTTCTACTGTATGTTTTTGTACAATTTCAATGTGATCGAAATAATATTCAATCAAGTGTGCAGGACATTTCAGTTAATATTATGTCATGTAAATATAAGTATTTCTATCTTCCAAAAATCTGACAGCTGTATCATGTGCAGACAATGCTTCAACAATAAACTTTTCCAATGTTGCTTGGTATGATTTTCTTATCATGAATGATTCTTTCTTGGAGTTTAGCTAATAAAAAACAGTGCTTGAATAATTTGAGAAAACTGGCTTTGGATTACAGAACTGACTGCCAGGGCTCAATAGGGCCAGTTGACGAAACTGACACCATATTGGGCCTCTTTTTTAAATGTATGCATGTTTATGTCTTTCAAACTTTTGCTTACAAAATACTATTTTACATTTTTAGGATAGTAGTATCAGTAAGAATGGCTTGAAAATAATGTCATTTTTGCCATGTCCTTTTTACCTACCATCACCAACCTACTGTATGCCATCATTTTCTAGCAAATGTGTTTGTGAATTTATTTTTGTCCTGGAGTTTCCTGTATGATTACATTGACTATATTGTCTAAGCAAAACATTTCTTTGCAAATTTAATATTAAATATATATATATATATATATATATTTATACGTAAAAAATTAGAGGTACATGCTACTTGGCCCTCTAGCGGTTAAAAATCAGAAGTGCATGCATTTTGCACAAGAACCGTAATGTTGTGTTCACACCGGACGCGAATAGCGAGTCAAATTCACGCCTGATGCGTCTAGTTTGACGCTTGACCACTTTGTGTTAATTCGCGTGAGTGAAACTGATGCGCGTAAAAACAAAAGTTTGAAGCGAAATTTATACGCGTTAGAATCAAAATCCGTTGCATACTATTTCATATAATCTAGATATGGGATGAATAACATTCAATACAAAATGAACATGTCTCGTATATAGAAATCAATTTTTAAGTGTTAAAATATTTGCTTTGTTGTGCATAATCCCACCATGCATTTAGTCATATTACAAAATAATTTATTGAAGCATCCAAATACCACGTGAGCAAGCAGCTAGGCTCCTGATTGGTTAACGCGGCACGAATTGACGCCAAAGTTCAGATTTTTCAACTCAAACGTATGAATGCACAAATAGCACTAGCCTAACTAAATCATTCACGCGTAACGCGCCAGATGCCGCGTTAACCAACTTGACGCGCGAATGAGGTGTATTCGTGTCTTCCGCGCCACGCTCTACGCCTCACGGTAGAGATCCACTTGTCCGACACGACAGTTGCGTGTTGTCGCGACGCCTCCCCACATTTGTACTTTCATGGGCGTTCCTCAAGTTAACCGCGGTTTTGAGCCAGCGGCTAGTCTAGAACAGAGGACCTGCAAGAGACTTCCCCCCCCCGTCTCCATATGCTCTGCTTCTATTGGATAGTCGCGGCACGTTCAACGGAATTCATTTGCAAAAAGATGGGCATCGGCCAACTTTTTGACGCGCAGCATTTTTCTAAATGAAGCGCCGCCTTCCCAGAATGCTGTACGGGCGCGTCAAAGTCGCGTGACGTCACCCATAGGAATAAAGCGGAATTTTTTACGCGTGTACCACGTCTTAGCATTGACTGACGGTAACAACGGACCATATGAGATTCTGCACAGTTCAGCGCACTTGGATCGGCATTCGTAGATCGACTGGTAGAGACTATTTTTCAAAGATGGCTCCTTCCTGTATTCGCGAAGTTGACTGTGTGTATAAAATATCTTCTTATTAAACTGTTTGGACACTGACAAAGTTCTCAATGCTTCGGTTTGAATGTAGGGACCCTTATTATGCTACCGTGTTTGTGTGGGGCTATTTTGAGCCTTGTTAGTGGTAATAACTAGCGATTCTTATTTGTCATTACTCTATGCCCTATCTAGCATTATACTAGCGTTATAGGCTGTTTTTAGAGATAAAACTATTTACATTCAGCAATCATTGAAAACAAATCTCAGATAACGGTTGAATAGGTAACAATGTGTAATTAGACCAAAGGTTCATTTTGTGCTGGAGTTGTCCTTTTAAATAATTACATTATAGATAATTTGCTTGTATATCTGTTTGTTACCCATTTATTACTCAAATATTATTCCCTTATAGTTATACCTATACGGATATACACTATAATTATAGAAACATACACCGTAATTTCGGTTTACTTACAGTTGTTTGCGGGTCATAAAATAAAGTGTTACCACACAGTTTTCTCAAACAAAACAGGTGCATTTTAAAGGTAGGGTTGGAAATTTTCGAGAGGTAGCTCTGACAGCACAAGATCTCAGCCTCCTTTCAAAGCATCTCAAAAGTCTCACGCCTCCTTCAAAACACATGAAAGCACACAGCAGAGTCCACAAAGCGTCACGAGAGACGGCGTTAAACTACCTCATTACTCAAAGCACGTAACATCACAATAATAATGCACATAAACAACTTAAAGAGCACTGTCCTGTACCACCTGACTGCTGCATATTCATTACAACGTTGATGGTTTTGCCATTGAAACGCATAAATTCGAGTCATGAACTGCTCCGAGTATAAAGTCACGGGTATCTCTTCCAGATTAAGACGGTTGTGGTGTGAACGAAGCATAAGCTTGTTGTTTTCGTTCAGGAAGAACTGTAAAAGGCAGCTGCTGTTTCAGTTGTGGTGCTCATTGACTGGCTAATAAACTCATGGCATGAAATGCGCTGATGATGTGTGATGTCTGCGTGAGCAGGTGCGTGGAGGTATGGAAATACATTATGTTAACAGGCATTTAGAACATCAAACCATTGCATTCAGACCAAATTCAATGATTGGACAAACATTTTATGGTCCCACGTCTTCCACAAACGACATATTTAAGAATAATTATAGTGATTGCTTTTAGAATTTGAATAGACGTTCAACATCTATTCAAGAGAAGACATCTACTGCGACTTGTAGTGAGTAATAATGAAAGATTAGTTGTAGTTTGAATTAGTTGCATGACTTGGGTCAATTTACTGAGCCATAAGGACCTCCTTACAGAAGCTGAAATTCTAGGGCCTCAATTTCATGCAATTGGACTGGAGAATATGAGTCTGAGTCTGATTCACAACCATTGTTGTGTGTTCAGCGGCGAGTCTAATTTGTCAAGTACATTTTCTAACCCTCAACCACTTCAAATGCCTTAAGCTGAATATTCCTATAGAAATCCATCCAGTGAGGGTCTGCGACTCATCACCATGATTATGAAGCCAATATGCTATAAAGCTGAGCGAGGGGCCTACATGAATATGTTATTGAGGAAGGGGCAGGGGAATATGCTAAATTCAGTTTTTCCCCCAGGCAGGGTCAGGACTTCTGCCTTAATTCTGAGCGGTGGGTGAGCAAACGGATCATATTCTATTACAAAATCAGGTCTGAAATATTGTTATGGCCCATTCATGCTGTCGCCACTGTGAGCCTGCATTCTAATTCGTACTGCAAGCCAGGAGAATCAGGATCCATTTGCCCACCAGGACCAATGATTCTGAGGGTCCTGCCAAAAGAATCAGTTGTAGCTTCAACTGCTTTTGACAGAAGAAACCACAAAAATATATTTTGTTTGAATGTTTTTGTATCACCAAGGAGATTTCTGGAACTTCCTCCACAATGGAATAGAGAGGTCACACACAAAGTCATGTTACTCTCTGTTTCATATCTAAGCCTTTTATTGCACTTTGACTTCTTAGGTTCTTTCCTGGACAGGAAAAGCTACATTGTTTTAAATATGCACAAGCCAAAAACAGCAGTAGACTACAAGCTTTTTCAAAATATTTTTTTAGTTTACAGTTTGTGCACATTGCTGTGACATTTTACACCTAAAGTGATTCATATATTTCACAGTAATTGTGTGAAAACATTTTTTAATACACATTTTGTAGACATTCACCAGGGGCCTCATTTATAACCGCCACTTCTGACGTTGTGATAAAAACAAACTTGACGGGAAAATTTGCGCACCAGCCCACAAACTTTTTGGAGACCAAGCAGTTTGGCGACACCGATGGTAAGCTGGAGTTAAATGTCTTTTTGGTCATTTTAGGCAGAAAATCTAAAGAAAATTATACATATAGAAAGATAATACAAATGTAATTTCACTCACCAAGCCTATCGAAGAAAATATCCGCGCCAGTGAGAGCGTTGGACCGTTTAATGAAACGCATATCTAACGGCAGATGACGTTAAACCGTAAATCTTCATTCTTCATTATGAGTCCTATAATACAGTGCACAATAAAAGTTTAAATAAATAAAATAATGATTTAAACTATGTTTTACTTCTGATATAAACATTTAGATTAAATATACCATTCTCATGGTGTGAAGCACCACATGAAATCATTACTAGCAAATAATGCACAACAATGTCTGTTTCTATTAAAAATAGAAATCAATTAAAAATACTATTTGGCCTGTGGAAAAGATTGAGAAAAACTTTTTCTGAAATGGATTTTACACTATTTGATTTATTTATTCAAAAAAAAAAAAAAAAAAGGCAAGGATAGGCTTATAGATTATTTTTATAAATGAAATGTGACGGCACATCCATATTTTATATTTTCCTAATGTCTGGTACCGTTAAACTTCATCACGTGGATGAATTATTATGCAGTTGTCAGCTCCTGGTTATTTTGGGGAGGAGACACATGTGAGCACAATCTTCCCCTGACTGGTATTTATTAAGTGAATTCTGTGCAGGTTCTGGCGTATGAATGGTTTTATAAGTAATTTTTGGCTTTTTGGGTGCACATACACTTTTAGTAAGGATCCTACGCACAGTTTTATAAAAGAGGCCCCATGCAGCTCAGTCACCAACTCTGTAACCTGTCTGCACTACACGCAGCATCCTTTCTCTGGTCCCCATTCGCCATTGTCGCCATTGTCCAGAAAGGAAATATAGACATCATCAAAGTAGTCCATGTGACATCAGTGGGTTAGTTAGAATGTTTTGAAGCATCGGAAATACATTTTGGTCCAAAAATAACAAAAACTATGACTTTATTCAGCATTGTATTGTCTTCCGGCTCTGTTGTCAATCGCGTATCTGGTGAATTCGGCTTCAAATAAATATGGCTAGTCTTCCTCTGTGTCGAAATCCTTAGACATGTTTGCGAAGGTTGTACAGCGAAGATTGTTTACAGCGTGC